AGAACTTTGAGCTGTGGAGATAGTGGTGGAAGTAGTTGACCCAGGCGCTCCCACTTGCTGACACTGTAGTTTCACTTGCTGCCCAACAGCCAATGGCTTGTGTAGGCAATCACCTGTTCTGCTCCATTGTTCAGGCACTGCAACAGGACCGCCCCAATGGCCAACTGCGAAGCATCCATGTGCAGGTAGAATGGCTGCTCAAAGTTGGGGAACACCAGCACTGGGGTGACATAAGCTGCTTCTTCAGCTGATTGAACACCCTGTCACACGCCACCACCCACATGAAGTGTTGCTCCACACTCCTGGAAGTCAGGCAGTAGAGTGTGTCCACCAGCTGAGCAAAGTCCAGCATGAACCAACAGTAGTAGTTGCAGAGACCCAGAAACACATGCACCTCCACGATGTTAGCAGGCCTTGTCATCACCTGGATGGCATGTAGCTTCTCAGGGTTGGCCATGATACTGTCCTTATGCATGATGTGCCCTAGGAACAGCAGCTCATGCTGGCAGAAATTGCACTTGCTGGGCTTCATGTACATGTTTGCTGCCCACAGCTGTTGGAACACCTCCTGAAGGTGCCCCAGATGGTCCTCAAAAGTCCTGGAGAACACAATGATATCATTGATGTAGACCAGAGTCAACAGCCAGTTCAGCCCAGACAGCACAACATCCATATCCCACTGGAAACTGGCCAGCATGTTGGTGAGCCCAAATGGTGCATGGTTGGCATGGCCCAGGCGCAGGAGCAACAGTGTGAAGACATCACAGTTCTCAGTGAGGAGCACAGTCAGCAATGCAACCTCCTCAACAGTGAGCTCCTCATCCACCCACTCCACCATCCATCATATGTCATTGTCCATAGCCACCAACATTGGCTTCCAGCTGAGTGTGCCCTGGTACAGTGACTCCTCCTTGTCAAAACCCTGACCCAGGCCCATGCCCTCAGGTGTGGAATCCTTGCTGATTACAGTGCAGGCTCTCCCACCAGAGTCCCAGCACTCAGCTGGATGGGGTGCCAGGAGAAGTTGGCCAGACTGGTGACCATCCAGCATTGCTCTTCCTCATCCCACCACGACCTGACCAGTGCACACATGACCCATGCTGTCTTCAGGCCTGTGTTCAGTGATGGCTGCTCAAGCAGCAGATTGACCTTGTCCTCCTCCCATCAGTCCAGGCCCTCAGCCACCCACACATGCATCTGCACAATGGTAAGTGGCTCTAGCACCAGGTCCTTGGCAAGGAACACCCTGTAGTGCACTTTCATGTCCACTGTGGTGATGAATGGGGTCTCCTTGCCAGTAGGGAGGGCCAGCATGCTCTTGTCAAAATGGATGCTGAAGTTGAAAGAGTGCAATGCACCTGTGCCCAGGAGGATTGACACTGGACAGGCTGGGACCACATGGAGGTTGATGTGGCGTGTCACTGACCTGATGGTGATGGGCAGCTGGGCCATCCCCAGCGTGGTGAGCTCTTCACTGCCAATGCCCATGACATGATATCCCAGCACCTGTGTCAATGAGGGGGCACACATTGACATCACCCACCAACACAGCAACAGACATGGGGACAAACCATGCTGGCCAAGTGGCCATCATGTGCTCTGTTGCTGTCAGCACTGCTTGCAGCACACCATCTACCATCCTTCCAAGCCACACCAGCTTGTCCTTGTCCTCACCCTCATCACCACCATCACCCACTGGTACAACCACAGCAACCATGTCCCCCATTGCCAATGCTGCTACCATCTGCTGCAGGGCCACCCCTTCCATCAGTGCGGCCACCAGCCAGTGAAGTCCCATCCCTGTGGGCCACTTGCCAGGTCTGGCTCTCCTCCTGCTCCCATTCTTGCCCCTCCTCCACCACATCTTCCTGCCTCCTGTACCATCCATCATGCCTGCCCACCCGCCCAGCTCACCAAGCTCCAGCGCCCCATCCTCCACCTGCCCAACACAGCCCTCCACCATACCACACTCTTTGTGACCCTTGCTGCTGCTAGCTTCCCTGCTCCATGTTCCACCCACCACTCCACTCCTCTATGCCCCCACATACCCCTCCAGGTCCATGTCCACTGGAGCAAGTGGACCCACCACCACTCCAGTTGCTAGTTTGATGGACTGCCAGTAGGCAGCTTCAACCCCCTCAGTGCCCCTCCCACAGCCATAGGCTTCATGTCACCTGGGCGCCCCATGGCAGGCTCCACCAATGACTGCCTGGGGCAGTTGTGAGCATAGTGACCCCACTGGCGGCACTTGAAACACTGAATTTCCGATACTGGCTGGCTGGCAGGCGCATTCTGCACCCATGCCACCAAGTCGCAGAAGTCCTCCTTCAGCTCATGCATCTCTGCCTGCACACTGACAGTGCTCAAGTGCTGAGGTGCGCCTGTCACCTTTGCACATGACAGCAGCGATGTTGCATGCCTTAGTGATGGACACCCACAGCCTGGACTCATACTCAACCA